TGATGGCCACTCTATTTTTCTTTCCACTTTTAAGAATAAAACTATCTATCATAGTTCTCCTATTTTGCATGATTCTCTTCTTTCACTTTCTGCATGTAGATGAGAGCCCAATATTCTTCCATTCTGTATTCAACAAATGAAAAGGTGTTGACCTTTTCCATAAAATAGGCAACATGCAATTCCACTGCAGTGTGAAACACAACAGTTACACCTCAAAGCACTCTGGGAACACAGCAGATCCGAGGCCTCAGCCCTTACTCTTCTTTCTTTGTATGTTCTCCACTGGAAATCTCATCCTCTTATCATCCTTTTTCATTTCAATACTAATGTCTCAGAGATTAATAACTTCTGTACAGACCTACATATAGACCTATATACAATATTTTCATTTATTGTGGTATGATCAAAATATATACAGTGAATGTTTACTTAAAAATGTATTACAGAAAAGTAAAAGACAAATTGAGTACATAGTGTCAAAGTGAAGACACACAAGGTGTGATCAAAACATAATTTATAAAATTATAAAATTAAAAAATTATTTCTGTAAAGAGACACAGCCATTAATTCCCCTCAAAATGCTCATCTTTGCTTTGATCAAATTCATCCAATCATTCTTGCCACTTTCTGAAATAGCTCTGGAAACTCTTTTTTAAGTATCTTTGTACCACATAACTGAAAATAAGGTAAATGCTTCTGATGTGACATTCAGCAGAAAGGCAGACTAGTGCAAACATAATTATCTGCAAACATCATCGAATCTGGCATCATGTGACTTCTGGCTCTTCCACAACGTCCAAAGGATCTTGAAAGGTAAACATTTTGAATCAACTCAGGACATCTAGGCATATAACGACACAACTAACGACACTCACAAAAGAGGACTTCCAGAGCTACTTCAGGAAGTAATAAGAATGATATGTGTGTTTATAATGGGGGGAGGATTTTGAAGGAATTAATGGGAAAGTATCATTTATTGAAATATTTTAAATGTTAAGCATTCATGGTACATTTTGATCACATGTCCTATGTCTTCACTTTAATACCCTGTCCTCCTCAAAGTCAAGAGAAGATAATAAGAGGTAACCTTTATTGAGTGAGCATTTATAATGAACGACATATGGTTCTATGTCTACTATGAATTAGGTACTGATATGATTTACATTTTGAGTACAATAAACTGAAGCTAAAGGGCTTAAATTGTTCAGTGTTACATAAATTAATAACTGACAGAGCAAGGTTAAGGACCTAGGCAATGTGGCCTCCAAAGCTAGAGCTCTTAAACACTTACACTGTCCTTCCCCCTACTCATTACATACTAGTTTTTCAATAGAATATAGTTCATTGATTAACTTGCATAACAGCTTTGGAGACTACAGCAAGAGAGACCATCAAAATGTTTAAAAATATTTGATTCAGTAATCCAGTAAGGCAGTCATTAAGAAACTGATTTCCAAAATCACTATTCCTAGTTTCCAACCTATCTCAAATTATTTAATAAGTATATGGTGTTGTTGGGCGATGTATTTGACTTCTCTATGCCTCACTTCCTTAATCATAGAGTTGGAATAAAAGGACACCTGTTTATAGGGTACTATGATGATAAGTATTTTCTAATATATATGATGCATCTGATGAATGTTAGCTGTCATTCTTATTTTCATAATCTTCCAAATCACAGAAGGAAGAAATGAATTCTGAGTAACAAATTCGGACTCTTCCTTTCAGACTTTAAACTGTAAATATCATCTCCTATTAAAAATAAGCAAGATTCTTTACAGAAATTGATGATTCCATGTATGAATATGAAATACATAAGATGATTATGGGCATGATGTCAGTTGTGAATCCAAGAAAGCTACCAAAAACTTCCCAATTCATGGTAAGAGATAGAAGACACTCAGAAGAGAACTGACTGAGCAAAGATGAAGGAAACTGAATATAAGAAGAATAATGACAACAGATGGAAAAACACTGTGTGCATGTGTGTGTACGTGCATGTGCATCATCTACATAAGAACTGTGTAGGTCTATAATGATACTCTGCAAAAACAAACACAACAAGTCTTAAATGTTGCTAAGTCATCAACATATTATGAAAACTAACTAATAAAAGTGATTGCTCAAACATTTGCCACATATTTGTTAGTAATAAGAGAAAGATTTCTTTATAGAAAAATCATCACTAAAAAAGGAGAAAAAATAAACAATGGAAAATAATCCTTTGGCTACTATTATGAAATAAAAGATTTTGGAAGCATTGTTTAATGGACAACATAATAGGTAAAAGACCATGAAAGATGGATTAGGATGATGGTTCCCAATCCTATGACATCACTAATAGTGAAACACCTCAATGTTATGCTCCTTTGATGGGAACACATATAAATACACAGCAATGCCCATGCATTCCTTTTACCAAAGTTAAACCTGAATCTGAGTCACTATGTATAAATACTAGCTTACATGAAATGTCAACAATAAGAAAAATCATTTTAAAACATACTATGCCAGCAATCAGACAAAATCAAGCTATAGCAAGTTCTACAGCAGAAGTGACCCAAATTATTCAACATATATATGACATGAAAAATTTGAGAAGGTATGATAAATTTAAAATAGACTTAAGGTATAGTCAACGAAAGGCAGTTTGAGACTTGGGATTTTGATTTGAGAAATTTAACTGTAAGAAAGATAGTTGGGAACAGTCAACAAAATTTTAAAGAATAATTCATTTTGATGGGTAAAGTAAAGGTATATCATTACCTTTTAAAAATATAAAGAAATGAAATATTTATAGATTAAATTCCATGCTAAGATCTGCTTTAAAATACTCTTGCAAAAGAAAACAAAGTGAAGGAGTTCTTTTTCCAGGAAGATGAGGTAGATGGGTAAGGCTAGAAGAAAAATGAATGTGGTTACGAAAAGGTCCTGGTGAGGTGTCCTGGTGGGGAGGGAGCTGTCCAGCACCCTAGTAGTGATATTGTACTGCCAGATCTAATGGTGAAGGGACAGTCTATCAAGGGTACAAGGGATTCTTCTATATTATTTCTCACAGATGTGCTTGAATCTCAAAAAAATTTCAATCAAAAGAATGAGAAAATGTGGTGTGGCAGAAAATAAATGAAACAAGAATGGCAGAAAAATTCATTGTTACAGAAAAATTCAACAGAACACTTTTATTTTGATGAAAATTTCTGTAACTTTTTTTTTTAATTTTAGGAAAGTATACTTAACATTTCTCTGCTGAGTGGACTTATCGTCTGATTTTTCCTAACTGTTCTATTTCAAGTCTTTCAAAACCCCATACTACTAAGTTATCCCACACACACACTTTTACTAGTTTTTCCATCTAAGATACTATTTTTACTTTTACTCCTTTGCATATAAAGAAGCCCACTCCTCAGAATAAAGTCCATGCATATCACAATGCCTCCAAAGTCAGTCCTTAGCAGCCTCCTACTCTTCCCCTAGAAGCATCTCTTCATACCTTTTACTGCTAGTCTCCCTCTGTCATGTATGCAATTTTGGACAACAGTGCCTTTGCTTAGGCTTGCTACTCTTTTCCTTCTTCAGTGACCTAATTCCCACCCATGTTTTTAAAAAACAAATAAAATCCACCTCCTCCTGAAGCTCCGTCAACACTTAAGGTAACTCCAGAGGTCTTCAGAGCAAGGATCCTATATTGTGTCACAATATCTAGAAGATTTTCTGATGCACTCAACAAAAAGATGTTTATGTAACTGAATTAATATATGATATGAAGCCTCAAAGAGGTCAGTAAGTCACAGGAAAAATGAAAACAAAGAAGTAGATGTGTTAAAGAGATTTAAAAATAAAAATTGGAATTCATCACACTCGAATCTCAGACAGCAGTATGTACATATAATTTGCTTGGGCAACTTATTTAACATATCTTGGCATTTGATTCCAAAATGTAAAGTGAAAGACCTGACTCCCCACTTTTAAACATGCATATAGTGTACTTGCTTCTGGAAAAACTCTCCCAGAGGCTTCCATGGATTATGACTTGGGAAAGTTACTCCTAAATATTTACTCATCAATAGGGACTGCACTTCACATAAAACACAGAGCAAAACAGTATCCCTGATACATTAGTTTTTAAATAAAACTAAATCAATGAAAATAAAATTGCACAATGACTTTGAAGATCACAGGAAGTGGGACCACCACATCTTCTAAAGATGCAGTATTACATTCCATAGGACTCCCTGCATTCTAGGGGAAGTGCAGTCTCTCTCTCTCTCTCTCTCTCTCTCTCTCTCTCTCCCCTTGTAGCACTAAAAGTCTACCATCCCTTAGCCTGGGGCTCACTCTCTGCGATGTACAGTGTAAGGAAGAAACATTTTCTGTTGCAGAGGATGACCTTGTTCAGAAACTACCATGGTTCCCAGCACAATGAAGCCAAGACTCCTCAGGATGGAAAGAACGTTGAGAAGAATACACAATGAGAGTAGGTGCTAAGAGAACAAATTCTACTTTGCCTTAAACAAAGACTGTTGTTCTCTAGGCAGGCCTTGTGTGTGTAAGAAGGTCATGCCTCAGAGTCTGCCTTTCCAGTTGGAAGTGGCAGAAATCTTAACCAAAACATAAAGCTGGCACAGGCACCCTTCACCTGATCCCCCAGGAATGCCTAGGCTGGAAAAGCAGAGAGTGGCAGAAGATCCAGCGGTACCTTCCAATGGCACTCAGTGAAATTCAGGCGAGCTGCTGTCAAAGAGAATATGGTTAGCAAATGATGGGGAGGAGACATTCTTGCACAGGAACGCTGCCTTCAGGAGGGTGGGGCTGCTGTTCCCTTGAGAGAGTCCGAAATAGTAAGTAATGGGTCAACGCAATGAAACTGGAAGCCAACATGGGACCTATGGGATGTGAACCGAAGTTGCAGGAACCCAAAATCTAGTCAAGGGAAGAAAAGCAAATAGCAATAGTTGATTTTTCTCTGCACCAGCCTGCAGCATGAAGGTCCTGGCAGTTACCTGAGGTTTCTTCACCTTAATGATCCACGTGGGTGGGACAATAACAGCAGCATGGGCCCCCAGGGAGCAGGGTTCCTCAATGTGATGCAGCATGAAGCAGGTCACCTTATTGTGAAACTGAAGAGAAAAACAGGCTAATGAGCAATTCTGGCCAGAACTGCAGTGAAAAGGAGCAAGTACACACTTGCCTTGTGCATGCACACATGCATACTCTAAGGACACATGCTTCTCGCCATCATCCAACTAGCCCCAGGTACCTGGAGACCAGATTCCCAATTCATGCCAGCATAAAAACTTACCACAGTGGTTAACAAGAAATCAACCTAGCAGGACAAGGCCTGTTAAAATTTTCTAACCCACTAGTAGGACATTTTCATGAAGATGTTAGAGTCTTGGAAGGTTCTAGTAATCCTTACTTTGAACACAAATGTTTCCCTTGACCTTACGTTAGTCAGAAACTCAGATGAGTAAGAATAATGTGGAGGGCCAGGGATTTAGCTCAGTGGCACCACAACTGTCTCTCAAGTGCAAGGTCTTGAGTTCAATCCCCGGTACCACAAAAAAATAAATAAAATAAAAAGAACAATGTGGAGGAAAAAAAAATAAAGAAAAGCAGAAAGGCAATGCCTGCTCTCTGCCTGTCTTGTTTTCTGTCTGAGATGTAAATCCTCCCAGGCTGTCCTTCAGTTTAGAGATGCCAAGAAAGAAACAGGATGTCTCTGCTGGAAGTCGTTAATCCCAGAGGTAACAAAGTACAAAGAAATTTCTTCTGTGAGTTCTTCTAAACCTCTTAAAAGTACAGTGGCCCTATTATACTTGGCAAACCTAAAGTATTTTTTGTTTTTGAAAGGAAGGAAGGAAGTAAATGTAAACTAATGATCATAACAATAACTCAGCATGAGGGGCTTAACTGGATACCCCAACTGTGCAAAGCTGGAACTGGTGACCTTAGGCCAATCACATTTTCAATCCTCTTTTGACAATAATCCACAAGGATGTGCTGTAACATTTATTTTCCAATAAATATAAATTCAACATTATGCAATAATTAGGGGACTAAAATTTAAACACAATGATTTTTTTAAAGATTAAACAACAGTTTCTATTTGAATCATACTTATTATGGCCACATAATTTATCATCTTAATTGGAACTATTTTTAAAATGAATAGATGTAACTTATTATGCACTAATTCATTTTTTTTCTCAGTACCAGGGATTGAACTCAAGAGCTAACACTTGCTAGACAGGTGCAGCACAACTGAACAAAATCCCCAAAGTAGAGAAATTTAAGAATGAAAGGGATCACTGATAATAATGCTGGAGCAACAGACAATAATTAGAACTGTCTCAGGAAAACTGGCAAATATAGCCACTCTAATTTTATTGCAAAACATCAGAGAGACTTTGTCTTCATGTCTGCATATCTTCAATATCTGCTGATTCCATGCCTAATCAGCCAATTAAATACAAAATACTAAGTGATAAAGTAATTAATAACCATCCCTGCTACCAGCTATTTGTGATCTGCAAACAATTAAATATACCAGAGAATTATTATTTCAATGCCTTCTTTATGTTTTTTAGCAAGTGAAATAAACCCTCAGATACATGACCACTATATTTCTAAAATAGTAAGGATCTCTGTGATTGTATTATTCAGATCTCTCAACTTATAGTTGGACTAATGTATGGAATAAGAGGTAAATTCAAGATTGTAAGCTTTTAAATGATGGCAGCAGGACCTAACTACAGGAACTCCAGCTCTCAGCCCAGGGTTCTTTGTCCTCTACCATGGAGTGTCACTTGCTGGTTTGTCTGACATCAAATATCCTTGGAGGGATTACCAACACTGTAAAATACGCAATCTATTTTGCACTGTAACATGAGTCAAAATATTTCGTATTTATACTCCTTGCAAAATCACCTTCTATAATGTGGGAAAGTTGAGAAATGCAAAGATATGTGGAACTGACCAATGGGCAAGTGTAAGTTCAGTCTTTATCGATTCAGTTGGACTACAGATTAATAAAGAGAGCACACACGTTTACCTTAAAGTGAGGGTGTTTCCATAGTAACCAATCCCGGATAACCCATCTCACCCCATCCTGACAGCTACACGGAGATGCAGCCTATCTGAACACACCTGGCATGATGCTGCCCTCTAAGTGGGGTCTCATCAGGTCAAGGTGCTAGCACGTCGGATGGCATTAGGGACTCAGACACCAAATCAGCTCCTTCTCCCACTGGTGGAAATATAGTCATCGAGACAGAGTTCACTAGAGCTTAGGATATGCTCCTGAGCACACAAAGGTCACGTATGTGACAAGGAACTGAAAGGGAGAGGAAATGCCAAGAACACAAAATGTGCCAGGATGGCAACACCGCAAGCACAAAGCTTCATAGTTACAGAAGGTTCTTCTGGCATGTGAGGCCAGCCAAAGAAAATTAGTGAGATTATTACAATGAAATTGTCATAAATGGTTTTGATGACCAAAGTATCATTTTGTGACGTTTGAAACAAAATGTTGCTGGAGTGTGAAGCAAGTTCAATCTGTTTTTTTGTTTTGTTTTCTTTTGTTTTTTGTGGAGGGATGTGGTTACATGTAAACTCTTAACCTAGCAGAAACACTACAGCCCTTTGTCTTCAGGTCCTCTATGCAAGGAAGGGGTGATATGTCCCAAGTCACATGAGCATTCAGAAAAGCAGAGGTCAGCAAACATTTTCTAAGAAGATTTCATAGTAATTATTTTAAACTTGTGAGTCCATTCATCTATGTTGCAATCACTCCATTCACCCAATGGGGCAAAAATGTAGCCGTAGATAATCCATAAATGCAAAACAAGCATGGGTAATATATGAATAATTTAGGCATGGCTGTGTTCCAATAAAATCTTATTTATTAAAATAAGTCATAGCTATATTTGGGGCTGGGTGACATTATTTACCAAAACTACATTTCATTTAGTATAAGAACAACTATACCACCACACAAACCTAGAGAAGGAAACAAGCAGCTCTCTTCACATTTAGCCCAATAAAGTCACTCAAACTGGGTGTAATCTCACACTCAGGAGGCTAAAGCAAGAGGATTACCACAAGTTCAAGGCCAGGCTAGGCTATATAAGGAGTTCAACGCTGGCCTGAACTACACAGAGAGACCCTGACTCAAACAAACAAACAAAAAAAGTCACTCACATAAAAACCAGAAGACCCAGGAGGCCTAGCCACCTATGCTACAGAGATCTCTCATGGTGCCTATTGCCTTGTCCTAAATTTGCCCCTTCCCACCACAGGAGGATTTCTCAACAGTTTAGTGGAGAGGAAATGAATAGAATATAGGAGTGAGAAGCCCTTGATTCAGTCCCAGAGGAGGATTTTCTAGTCTTTCATCCTAGGCTTCAATATATCCAAAAGAAGGGTTGAATGTATCTCTAGAATGTTTCCCAGATCATACATTCTAGTATTCTATAGCTTTACTATCTTTCTTCCTCAAGGAACTGAGTTGAGAAAAGGAACAGATTCGATTAGCATAACTTTCTATCTGCAGACAGGAACTTAAGCATTGACAAAAGTCTGTTCTGATCTCATGTGAGCTCACTTTTCTTTTTATTTTGTCCCAAACTTACCGCCTGCTTGCACCAGGAACAGCTGATAGCCACAATTTCTTTACTGTGGAAGGAGAACTTTTGCTGGAAACCCTGGGATATTAGGACAAGAGACAGAAAATTTTAAAACCACCTCAATCACAGCAAGTATTTGCCCCCCAACACAGAAGTTCAATAAAACTGTTAGCCATCACTATGGTAACCAGAACTTCAAGTGTCACATTCCGAGCTATGCTCTCCACCTTCTGCCATGTGATGATTTTTTACTTCTGAACCATCCAAAGTGTGAGAGAAGGCATTGGTATTTCCTATGCCACTAAAATCTCCAAGTCAGCCACATGGAAAAAAAACCTTTCTTTTATATATGTATTTCTGATATAGTTTTCAATACAAAGGAAACCCTTAGCTCTATAGAATAATTGTCATGTATTTCAGATGCTCTATACAATTTCAGTAATTAAGAACTCAGACAGAGAGAAACTGAGTATCAGAGAGACCGTACCTAGAAGTTAGGATCTGGGAGCTGTCCAAGAGTGTAGTGGGAAATTCGGCTTTCATAATCCGTTGGGGATGTCTGCTCTAAATAAGCAGCTTTTAATTCATATTCTTTAAAAGCAAACAGCAATGAGAACGGTAGAAACAATCCTCTTAGATGAACAAAGTGACTCTTCCATCACTAATGGAAGAGGTGCTTTTAGCTGCTGTGGGTTGCCTAAGTAATTACCAAACAGAAGTTTACAGTAATGCTCAAAGATTTTTCTCCCTAAACCTGGGCCATTTCCCTCCATCTGTAAAATCAAAACCCAAACAAATGCGGTGACAAAAAGTCTTAAAATAGGGCTTAGGTAAGGAGGTCAAAAGAAAACAGAAATGTTTTCTGGCTAAATAAGTCTTGCTTAATGCTTATAGATAACTTTAGGTTAAAAGTCAATTAATATATTATGAAATAATGCCCCAGAAGCACTGGCAGTATCCACAATCCCCACATGTCCACAACACTTGACATGCTATTTGGGATTGCTCCTCTTTGATCTCCCTCCTCTTTTATTTCCCCAATACCCACCCTAGTTCTCTTTTAGTCACTCAGTCTGCTGCAGATGGATATCAGCTTAGAATTGAGTTTAGTCATCTATGCCCTACGATTCAACCTCTAATCCTTCTCTTTTGTCCCACACTTAAATAATCACTTCCCTGAACAAGACTTCTTAATATCAGAGTCTCTTGGACACTAAGTGACGCCTCTCCTCTAAGTGATGGACACTGTTATGCCTCCTTTTGTCCATGATCGCACCTTCTCCCCAGCAGAGGATTGCTTCTGAGACACACAATGGCTGAAAAGTGCTGGGTAGTTTTGATGTCCATATGTTTGTTACTGCTCTTGCTCAAACACCATTCCATCAACTTATACATGAGAGGTGGCATGTCGAAAGAAGCCGAGGACAGATAGCTTCTTATTGGCTGGGTGATCTTAGACCAATCACTTTATTCTTCTAACTTCTCCCTTCATTTCAAAATGGGGATAGTGATAGTAACCTCTCTACACCACCAGGTTCTTATATTCATCAAATGTGGCAATATATTTAAGGGGTCTATGACATCACATTGTAAGTATACAGAAAAAGAGTATTTTATTGCTAAAATCTATCAACAAGAACTTCACCTTGCTGAGAAAGGCTAGTGTCAAATGTGGTCTTACGGGCACTCTATGTATTCAGCTGTGCCACCCAATAAATATTGGCCGACAGGCTTCATGGAGGAAGCAGATGCGGTCCACTGTGGCAGTGACAGCCAGGCTGATACCAGAAACAAACAACAAGGCCAATCACAACTGGGGCATTGGGCATGGTGCTTGTGCAGGATTGCGGCAGGCCTCTTGGAAACAGGCCTGATGGTAATCATCTCTGTGCTTTGTTTTGGATTCTAGTCTGGCAGAGTCACAGTGATCATGGCTTCAGAGCTATTATCTAATAGAGAGACATAAATAGAACTTCCTCAGAGCCCTCGTGCACTGAGTTCCCACAGACCACCTGCTATGGGGAGGTTCTGGCCAGGCTTGCACAAAACAGCAAAAAGAACCAGATCCCTGATAATCCATGTTTAAATGCTGGCCCCCATCTGCTATTATGGTACTAACAGACACCCCCACTGAATATCAAATGACGTGATTTTTAAGGGCTATTTTGTTCAGCACTATCAAAGAGGAAAATGGGGATGTTAGGTCAGATGCTTTGAATCTAACTGACTTCAGAATTTAAAATATCAAGAACTCAGAGTGATAAGGTTATTATTATTATTTTTTTTTGGTTCTGTGGGTTTATTTTTCAATCAAATTGAGCCTTTGGGAAAAAGTTTAAACAAGATTTGTTCTGAACAGCTAAAGCTCTGTTGCCTCTCTTTCTTCTGCAATGTAGGGCATGTACCAAATGGACTCAGCTTTATAGCCTTGGAGGAAACCAGAGACAAGGACAGTACATGAAATGAGCTGAAATTAGTTCACTGTTTCTGTATACAACTGGGGCTTGATGTGGGGTAATCTCTTGATCACAGGCTAATTCCCTAATTTAGGTCTACCCAACGTAAGAGTTGATACATGTGGCTAGAAATTTTAAACGAAATAAGCCTTTCTGTATCCATCAGTGTGACCAAAGCTCACAAAGTGCTGCAAATGGAAAATCCAAATGAATTGTAAGACTCATCAATTTTCTTCCATTAATATTTATCTGAAAAAAATAATTTCAAGCATCTTAGCTCAAATGCTCCCTATGACTTATAAAAATATATACAAATGTATACTCATACATTTTATATTTCATATCTAATGCTTATCATAAGTTGAGATGTAAAGTTCATAATTTCTGGCAAAATAAGATTGAAGCTGTAAAATAAAATTTTTATATCACTCTTAATTGTATCTCATGTAATATAAATATCATGGTGACTTAGTAAACAGTAAAGTAAAGGGAAATTTTTCCACTTTGAACAGGACTTTGCTAGAAGATTTCAAATTAGTTGCATTCTTTTTTTTTTCCTCATTGAGTTTATTTGTACATTTTAGGTATACAGTACAGTGGCACTCATTATTGGGATCTTGTACCTTTACATGACAGGTCTTGGTTCTCATTTTTTCCCCTTGTTCCTGCTCTCCCTTCACCCCCTCCTCCCCGCCCTCCTCATTTACAAACATACAGCAGCTTTCAACCAGCTACAGCTGGTAGGTTAAACAAAACTTTCTAGTTACCTGGGTATGGCAACTATACCCACCTGATTGAAAACTCTTTTATTTTTTAAAAAAGCATTAGAGTTAACTGATTATAGACTGTGGACTAATTGAGTGCAAGCTTCAATCTTTAGTTAGCAAAGCCACCAGGAATTAACAACCCCTTTCTTCCAATTTTAGTATATGTGCTACCAAAGTGAGTACTCCTTTCTTAATATATATATATATATAAAATTAACTTTTTCCTTTAACAAACTATTCCGGCCAGGTTTTCACTGATATTTGTACCCTTACTGAGCATTGTGGATCCATGGTAATCAGTATAATATGATAGGATGCCTTTTCCTCAATTTTGAGGCAGAGTAAAAAACTGTTAGTTAAATATTCTAGTTTTGAGAAGACTATGGTTTATTTATTCATTAAAAAACCTAATTTACCTAAAATTTCTAAATTTTCTATCCTGAATTTGTGGGTCTTAAGATAAATTTTTATAAACATTTAAGATTTTCAAAATGTAAATGAATTAATCTAAATTGGATTGTCATAATGTTTTTAAAATTGAATCATAGTAAACAATGTTCTTGTGACTCCTGAAAGCAATTCACATTATGTGGATTTACAATTACTTTATCAGAATTATCTTTGAAAAACTGAAATTCATGTCTAGTTGGATTAATTATAGCATACTTTTGGTGCTGATTAAAGATTGCAATTTGTGAATGCTAATATTATCCGTACAGACCCATGATGAACAACCTATGGCACACGTGCTGCAGCACACTGTTAACACTGAAAGCTCTGAAAGGTTCACCATTACTGATATAGACTCTCAATCCTGGTGTATCACTGACTAGCACGTACAGAATAACAGGTTCTCCCTCAAGTGCATCCTGAGTTGTTGATATTTACAATTGTTACTCATAGCTGATCTGTCTTATCATCCTTACATAGTTTCTACTTTTTGCACACCTCTACCTAAGTACCTCCCACAAACCACAGATCATAAATTGAGTTTTCTGGAGGAAAAAGTAAAATATTACAGCACAGGGTTCTCCCTACAAGTTCATACTATTATCACAAGTGTGTCAGACCACATGAAGAGACTAAGAAGTGATTTCCAGGTTGATTTCATTTCAGAAACAGATGAGTTCGTGCAAGCAGACAGTTTAACCTCAGGCCAGAACTAAGACAGATACCTCCAATGATGGCTATGACTCATACTTTATTTTACATGTTAACTACATTTAGTCATGATATTTTTTTCTCTCATTGAGTTTATTGGTACGTTTTAGGGATACAGTACAGTTACATTCATTATTGGGATCTTGTACCTTTACATGCCCAGTCTTGGTTCTCATTTTTTCCCCTTGTCCCTGCCCTCCCTTCACCCCTCTGCCCTCCCCCTTTACAAACACTGCATTTCCATTTTTTCATTTTCCCATATTTTTTTTCTTTTCCCTTATTACCTTTCTCCTACCCTTCCCACTTTCCCTACACCTTTAGCCCCTTCCTTCCTATGTCACATTGTCCATTATATCATTAGGATCTTATGTACTATGATAGTTTATTCACACCAGAGAAACTATTCAGTATTTACACATGTGTGACTTATTTTTTTCACTTAGGAGTATAGCCTCAATATGTATCCATTTTCCTATGAATGAATCTAATTTCTCATTCTTTATGGCTGAGTAATATTCCATTTTATAGAAAAACCACATCTTCTTTATCCAGTTTCCAACTGATGGGCAAATGGGCTGTTTCCAAGTTTTAGCTATTACAAACTGTGCCACTATAAACATAGGTGTGCATATATCACTGGTGCAACCACTATGGAAATCAATATGGAGATACTTCAAAGAGCTGAAAATACCGA